ACATAGATGTTATACTGCACTGTTGTTTATATCTACAGTGTGATGGAAACATACCTACTATACTGTTGTGTTTATATCTACAGTGTGATGGAAGCATATCTACTATACTGTTGTGTTTATATCTACTGTGTGATGGAAGCATACATGCTATACTGCACTGTTGTTTATATCTACAGTGTGATGGAAGCATAGCTACTATACTCTTGTGTTTATATCTACAGTGTGATGGAAGCATACATGCTATACTGCACTGTTGTTTATATCTACAGTGTGATGGAAGCATAGCTACTATACTGTTGTGTATATATCTACAGTGTGATGGAAGCATATCTACTATACTGTTGTGTTTATATCTACAGTGTGATGGAAGCATACATGCTATACTGCACTGTTGTATTTATATCTACAGTGTGATGGAAGCATAGCTACTATACTGTTGTGTTTATATCTACAGTGTGATTGAAGCATACATGCTATACTGCACTGTTGTTTATATCTACTGTGTGATGGAAGCATAACTACTATACTGTTGTGTTTATATCTACTGTGTGATGGAAGCATACATGCTATACTGCACTGTTGTTTATATCTACAGTGTGATGCAAGCATAGCTACTATACTGTTGTGTCTATATCTACAGTGTGATGGAAGCATACATGCTATACTGCACTGTTGTTTATATCTACAGTGTGATGGAAGCATAGCTACTATACTGTTGTGTCTATATCTACAGTGTGATGGAAGCATAGCTACTATACTGTTGTGTTTATATCTACTGTGTGATGGAAGCATACATGTTATACTGCACTGTTGTTTATATCTACAGTGTGATGGAAGCATAACTACTATACTGTTGTGTTTATAACTTCTGTGTGATGGAAGCATACATGCTATACTGCACTGTTGTTTATATCTACAGTGTGATGGAAGCATAGCTACTATACTGTTGTGTTTATATCTACTGTGTGATGGAAGCATACATGCTATACTGCACTGTTGTTTATATCTACAGTGTGATGGAAGCATAGCTACTATACTGTTGTGTCTATATCTACAGTGTGATGGAAGCATACATGCTGTACTGCACTGTTGTTTATATCTACAGTGTGATGGAAGCATAGCTACTATACTGTTGTGTTTATATCTACAGTGTGATGGAAGCATACATGCTATACTGCACTGTTGTTTATATCTACAGTGTGATGGAAGCATAGCTACTATACTGTTGTGTTTATATCTACAGTGTGATGGAAGCATATCTACTATACTGTTGTGTTTATATCTACAGTGTGATGGAAGCTTAGCTACTATACTCTTGTGTTTATATCTACTGTGTGATGGACACATACCTGCTATACTGAACTGTTGTATTTATATCTACATAGATGTTATACTGCACTGTTGTTTATATCTACAGTGTGATGGAAACATACCTACTATACTGTTGTGTTTATATCTACAGTGTGATGGAAGCATATCTACTATACTGTTGTGTTTATATCTACTGTGTGATGGAAGCATACATGCTATACTGCACTGTTGTTTATATCTACAGTGTGATGGAAGCATAGCTACTATGCTGTTGTGTTTATATCTACAGTGTGATGGAAGCATACATGCTATACTGCACTGTTGTTTATATCTACAGTGTGATGGAAGCATAGCTACTATACTGTTGTGTATATATCTACAGTGTGATGGAAGCATATCTACTATACTGTTGTGTTTATATCTACTCTGTGATGGAAGCATACATGCTATACTGCACTGTTGTTTATATCTACAGTGTGATGCAAGCATAGCTACTATACTGTTGTGTCTATATCTACAGTGTGATGGAAGCATACATGCTATACTGCACTGTTGTTTATATCTACAGTGTGATGGAAGCATAGCTACTATACTGTTGTGTTTATATCTACAGTGTGATGGAAGCATACATGCTATACTGCACTGTTGTTTATATCTACAGTGTGATGGAAGCATAGCTACTATACTGTTGTGTTTATATCTACTGTGTGATGGAAGCATACATGCTATACTGCACTGTTGTATTTACATCTACAGTGTGATGGAAGCATATCTACTATACTGTTGTGTTTATATCTACAGTGTGATGGAAGCATATCTACTATACTGTTGTGTTTATATCTACAGTGTGATGGAAGCATACATGCTATACTGCACTGTTGTATTTATATCTACAGTGTGATGGAAGCATAGCTACTATACTGTTGTGTCTATATCTACTGTGTGATGGAAGCATAGCTACTATACTGTTGTGTTTATATCTACTGTGTGATGGAAGTATACATGCTATACTGAACTGTTGTTTATATCTACAGTGTGATGGAAGTATAGCTACTATACTGTTGTGTTTATATCTACTGTGTGATGGAAGCATACATGCTATACTGAACTGTTGTTTATATCTACAGTGTGATGGAAGCATAGCTACTATACTGTTATGTTTAGCAAGACATTGGGGTATACGTATGTTGATGCAGGTATGTATTCGTGTGAAGAGATTGGGGTATACGTATGTTGATGCAGGTATGTATTCGTGTGAAGACATTGGGGTATACGTATGTTGATGCAGGTATGTATTCGTGTGAAGACATTGGGGTAAACGTCTGTTGATGCAGGTATGTATTCACGTGAAGACATTGGGGTATACGTCTGTTGATGCAGGTATGTATTCGTGTGAAGACATTGGGGTAAACGTCTGTTGATGCAGGTATGTATTCGTGTGAAGACATTGAGGTACACGTGGGCTGATGTGGATCTTTATTCAAGTGAAGACATTGGGGTATGCCTCTCTTGATGCGGTTATATATTCGTGTGAAGACCTATTTGTATACGTCTGTTGATATAGGTATTTATTCTTGTGAAAACATAAGGTTACACGTCTATCGATGCAGGTATATATCCATGTGAAGACAAAAGCGTACGCGTCTTTTGATGCAGATATTTATTCCTGTGAAGACATTGGGGTACACGTCTGTTGACGCAGGTATGTATTCGTGTGAAGACATTGAGGTATACGTCTGTTGATGTATGCATTTATTCATGTGAAGACATTGGGGTACACGTCTGTTGATGCAGGTATGTATTCGTGTGAAGACATTGAGGCATACGTCTGTTGATACAGGTATTTATTCATGTGAAGACATTGGGTTATACGTCTGCTGATGCAGGTATTTATTCATGTGAAAACATCGGGGTATACGTATGTTGATAAAGGTATTTATTCACGTGAAGACATTGAAGTATAGTCTGATGATGCAGGTATTTGTTCCTGTGAAGATATTCTGGGTCCATGTCTGTAGATGCAGATATATATTCATGTGAAGACATTGGGGTGTACGTATGTTGATGCAGGTATGTATTCGTGTGAAGACATTGGGGTAAACGTCTGTTGATGCAGGTATGTATTCGTGTGAAGACATTGGGGTAAACGTCTGTTGATGCAGGTATGTATTCGTGTGAAGACATTGGGGTATACGTCTGTTGATGCAGGTATGTATTCGTGTGAAGACATTGGGGTAAACATCTTTTGATGCAGGTATGTATTCGTGTGAAGACATTGGGGTAAACGTCTGTTGATGCAGGTATGTATTCGTGTGAAGACATTGGGGTATACGTCTGCTGATGCAGGTATGTATTCGTGTGAAGAGATTGGGGTAAACGTCTGTTGATGCAGGTATGTATTCGTGTGAAGACATTGGGGTAAACGTATTTTGATGCAGGTACGTATTCGTGTGAAGAGATTGGGGTATACGTCTGTTGATGCAGGTATGTATTCGTGTGAAGACATTGGGGTATACGTCTGTTGATGCAGGTATGTATTCACGTGAAGACATTGGGGTAAACGTCTGTTGATGCAGGTATGTATTCACGTGAAGACATTGGGGTAAACGTATTTTGATGCAGGTATGTATTCACGTGAAGACATTGGGGTAAACGTCTGTTGATGCAGGTATGTATTCGTGTGAAGACATTGGGGTAAACGTCTTTTGATGCAGGTATGTATTCACGTGAAGACATTGGGGTATACGTCTGTTGATAGGTATGGTTGGCAATACTCGGCACTTCAGAAAAGGAAAACGCTTTTACACATTTGTGATTTTTATTGAAATTGTAGCTATCACGTACTGATGATGATATCCAAACAAAATACAAAAAGGAGTGAAATATTATTGCGATTGGAGAAAAATCACACTAAACAGATATGGCTACTGCCATTCAAAGTGCACTAACATATATCCCCTGTAAAAAAGTATGGAATAGTTTCTTTTAAAGTGAAACTACTGGGAATGTCTGGCAATGAAAGTTGGTGGTTTATGCGATGATCGACGACGCTCTGGACCACCAAACGCACCAATAAAACAAATAGGTAGGTAATAATCTACGCTGGGCTTATGTTTTCTCACATATCGAGGTTCACTCTCAACATTCTCGACCGTGCGAATCAAGTTTGGATAAGTCCTAATGGGCGTTTTTTGGACCTGAACGCCGCACAGCATACTCGTTTGAAGGTGAGTCCATGCTGGCATGTGGTGGTATCGGATTGACTCCATATTGCCCATGGTAGTCACAGATCAACACAACAGTGATATAGTATTGCACCACAACGCATTAGGACCTTTTCATCTTTCGTGCATTGTACCATGACTGTGACCAAATCCCTCAACAGCAAACGGCCAAGTGAACACGCGTGGGACGTCACTCGAAGACGTTAAATTCAAAGTTAACCCACCACTCACATGACTTGAACGACAAGGTCGCCTACTGCCTAGCAGATCTGATGATGTTCCATTTGGCAACACGATAGGGAAGAGTATGTGTGTGGTTCATTCAGTGTCCCGAGTTTATATAGGGGTAAACATGCCTTCCACAAGGTCACTGGGGAGACGGCCTGGACACGGGAGACTGGGATATAGTGGGGCACTGTGGGTAATATATATATATATATATATATATATATATATACGTTACCTGCCATGTCTGCTACAATGCACATTTGAGGACAAAACAACCGTTGTTGAGGAACATACATATACAACTTCAGTTTAGCACTCCATTGCGTATATCACAGATCACTGTATATTGGACTATATATAGCACACATTAATCAACAGCCACATGGTACACCTCAGTTTGGATATGTGTCGAACTCTGGTATTCAGATTTTCACAGTTGAGCATATAATGTTGGCAAGCGACCTTCACTGTACAATTACTACGCAATTAACAATTACCATAGCTTTTGATAATTCAAATATTCTGCATATACAGTTATTACAATCTAGACTTTAGCATAGCACGATACGATACATCTCTCCGGAATGGCGGCTACTATTCAGGAGGTGGTGGATATCTCCGGGATAGCGACTATTGTTTTGGATGTGATGGTCTCTCAGGGATATCAACTATTGTTGTGATGGTGAGGGGAAAGTGGCTATTGTTCAGTATGCGATGGGCCTCTTCGGGATACCGAGCACTGTTACAGAAACTGACATTGCCCAGAGGTGAAGGTGAAGTTGATGAATACATAATGCTGCAGATGGAACGTCACGTGACTCCCTATGAACTGTCACGTGCAATCAACATCCTTGCGAATTCTGTAAAACAAGGACGTGCATATATATTCTGATACAAACATTCTTGAAATGAAACAAACATTATATGACTGAAACAAACATTGTAAACCTGAAGCAAACATTATAAAACTGAAGCAAGTAGAATGTCAGTTTGTAATCGCATGATCGTATATCCTGTCACATCGTGTGTGTACACGTGTGTAGTTAGGCAGACATAGATGTGTGTACACGTGTGTAGTTAGACAGACATAGATGTGTGTACACGTGTGTAGTTAGACATACATAGATGTGTGTACACGTGTGTACTTAGACAGACATAGATGTGTGTACACGTGTGTAGTTAGACATAGATGTGTGTACACGTGTCTACTAAGACAGACATAGATGTGTGTACACGTGTGTCTTAGACAGACATAGATGTGTGTACACGTGTGTAGTTAGACATACATAGATGTGTGTACACGTGTGTAGTTAGACAGAAATAGATGTGTACACGTGTGTAGTTAGACAGACATAGATGTGTGTACACGTGTGTAGTTAGACACATACATAGATATGTGTACACGTGTGTAGTTAGACAGAAATAGATGTGTGTACACGTGTGTACACGTTAGACAGACATAGATGTGTGTACGTGTGTAGTTAGACATACATAGATGTGTGTACACGTGTGTAGTTAGACATAGAATACGTGTGTGTACACGTGTGTAGTTAGACAGACATAGATGTGTGTAGATGTGTGTACACGTGTAGTTAGACATACATGATGTGTAGTTAGACAATACACGTGTGTACGTTAGACAGACATAGATGTGTTGTACACGTGTGTAGTTAGACATACATAGATGTGTACACGTGTGTAGTAGACATACATAGATGTGTGTACACGTGTAGTTAGACAGACATAGATGTGTGTACACGTGTGTAGTTAGACAGACATAGATACATAGATGTTTGTACGTGTGTAGTTAGACAGACATAGATGTTTGTACACGTGTGTAGTTAGACATACATAGATGTAGAGTTAGACAGACATAGATGTGTGTACACGTGTGTCCTTAGACAGACATAGATGTGTGTACACGTGTGTAGTTAGACAGACATGTAGATGTTAGACAGACATAGATGTGTGTACACGTGTGTAGTTAGACATAGATGTGTGTACACGTTTAGACAGACATAGATGTGTGACATAGATGTGTGTACACGTGTGTAGTTAGACATACATAGATGTGTGTACACGTGTGTAGTTAGACAGACATAGATGTGTGTACACGTGTGTAGTTAGACATACATAGATGTGTGTACACGTGTGTAGTTAGACAGACATAGATGTTTGTACACGTGTGTAGTTAGACATACATAGATGTGTGTACACGTGTGTAGTTAGACGTACATAGATGCGTACACGTGTGTAGTTAGATAGATCTGTATTGTCAGATAGATCTATATACTTGTGCACATGTGCACTTTGTAGTTAGATAGACCTAGATCCGCTCGTACAGTGATGTGTAGGTTGACAGACCTGAATGTTTGTACACATTTGTAGTTAGATAGACCTAGATCCGCTCGTACAGTGATGTGTAGGTTGACAGACCTGAATGTTTGTACACATTTGTAGTTAGATAGACCTAGATCCGCTCGTACAGTGATGTGTAGGTTGACAGACCTGAATGTTTGTACAAACCTATTCTGTCGACCATGCCGTTGCCGTTTCTGTCCAGGTCGGTGACCAAAGTATGGAGATCATCTTTTGTGAGGCAGCTCTCGTCACGCTGCAGACTGACTTTTTCCATGATCTGCTGGACCTTGCGCAGCGGGATCTCCTCCTGGTCCCCGGGGAACACCTTGTTGATGCAGTTTACTATCTCCATCTCCTGTTGTTCCACAGGCACGTCGTGGGCCGCGTGCAGACGACAGAACTCCTCAAAGTTAACTGTACCGTTATCTGGAAAGTGATAAAATGTGAAAAATAATTAAATCAAAGAGGCATATTGACACATATTCTTTTGAATATTCTAAGACAATGAACTGTGCTGTTGGAAATTAAAAGATCTATTGGTCAAACCATATGTCCACTACATCACAAATTGTTTTCGCACATGCATCAAATTCCCAATTCACTCTATTAACCCGTACACACCTTCCCCACACAGCCTGAATTTATACCACTCCATCATAACCTGAATTCAGACCATCCACTCACTAAAAGCATTCAGACAACCATGTCCCACACACGGTTCATACTATCCTCTCCCGAACACGGTTCATGCCATCCTCTCCCAAACATAGTTCATACCGTCCTCTCAAACACACGGTTCATACCATCCTCTCAAACACATCGTACATACCATCCTCTCCAACACACGGTTCATACTATCCTCTCCCACACAAGGTACATACCATCCTCTCCCAAACATGGTTCATACCGTCCTCTCAAACACATGGTTCATACCATCCTCTCAAACACACGGTTCATACCATCCTCTCAAACACACGGTACATACCATCCTCTCAAACACACGGTTCATACCATCCTCTCAAACACACGGTACATACCATCCTCTCAAACACATGGTTCATACCATCCTCTCAAACACACGGTTCATACCATCCTCTCAAACACACGGTTCATACCATCCTCTCAAACACACGGTTCATACCATCCTCTCAAACACACGGTTCATAATATCCTCTCCAACAAACTGTTCATACCTTACTCTCCCAAATACGGTCCATACCATCCTCTCCAACGCAAGTTTCATACCATTTTCTCCCACATACGGTCCATCCCTTTCTCTCCAACACACGGTTCATACCATCCTCTCCCAAACATGGTTCATAACATCCTCTCAAACACACGGTTCATACCATCCTCTCCCACACACGTTCACGCCATCCTCTCCAACACACGGTACACACTAATCTCTCCCACATACAGTTCATACCATCCTCTCCCACAAACTGTTTATACCACCCTCTCCCACACACGGTTCATACCATCCTCCCACACACACGGAACATACCATCACCTCCCGCGTATGGTTCATACAACCCTCTCCCACAGACGGTTCATACCTTACTCTCCCAAATACGGTCCATACCATCCTCTCCAACGCAAGTTTCATACCATTTTCTCCCACATACGGTCCATCCCTTTCTCTCCAACACACGGTTCATACCATCCTCTCCCAAACATGGTTCATAACATCCTCTCAAACACACGGTTCATACCATCCTCTCCCACACACGTTCACGCCATCCTCTCCAACACACGGTACACACTAATCTCTCCCACATACAGTTCATACCATCCTCTCCCACAAACTGTTTATACCACCCTCTCCCACACACGGTTCATACCATCCTCCCACACACACGGAACATACCATCACCTCCCGCGTATGGTTCATACAACCCTCTCCCACAGACGGTTCATACCATCCTCTCCCACACACGGAACATACCATCACCTCCCGCGTATGGTTCATACAACCCTCTCCCACAGACGGTTCATACCATCCTCTTCCACGCACGGTTCATACAACCCTCTCCCACAGACGGTTCCTACCATCCTCTCTCACACACGTTTTGTACCATCCTCTTCTACACACTGTTCATACCATCCTTTCTCACACACGGTTCATACCACCCTCTCCTACACACGGTTCATACCATCCTCTCCCATATACGGTTGATAATATCACCTCCCACACATGGTTCATACCATCCTCTCCCACAAACGGTAAACACTATTCTCTCCCAAATACGATTCATACCATTATCTCCCACACGCTTCTTAACATCACCTCCCGCGTATGGTTCATACCATTCTCTTTCACACACTGTTCATACCATCCTCTCCCACACACAGTTCATACCAGGCCCTCCTGCACATAGTTGATACCATCCTCTCCCTCAGACGGTCCATACCATCCCTCCTCCCACACACACGGTTCATACCATCCTCTCCACACACGGTACATACCATCCTCTTCAACACACGGTTGATACCATCCTCTCCCAGACATGGTTCATACCATCCTCTCAAACACACGGTTCATACCATCCTCTCAAACACACGGTTCATATCATCCTCTCCCCTTCCATCCCTCCAGTTCCATGCTTCCTTCCTCCATTTATCTCCTTTTCCTTCCATCCTCCGGTTCCTCCATTCCTTTGGTCCTCCTTGGTTCCTTGTGGTTCCACGGTTCATTCCTGGTTCCTTCCATCCTTGGTTCCTTGTCCTTTGGTTGTCTTCCATCGTCTCCATGGGTTCCTGGGCTGGTTGTTCCTTCATTCGTTGTCCGTCTCCGGGGTCCTTCCTTCGGTGTCCTTCGTTTCCGTTTCCTCGTGTGTCCGTGTGTCCTGGGGTCGTGTGTTTGTGTGTCCGTTCTCGTTTGTGGTCCTGGCCGTTTTTGTCTTCCTGGGTGTGTCCTTCCTCTGGGTTGTGGTTTCCTTGTGCGTGTTTCCTCCACTGGGTTTCTCCACTGGGGTTCTCGTTTCCTTCCTCCACTGCATAGTTCGATGGTTTGTCATGATTGACTGATTGATGGGTTTGGTTTGTGTGTTCAGCAATGTCACGGCCGGGATCCGTTGTTTCCTTCCTTCCTTCCTAGGCTACCCCACCACTTCCCACTCCTTCATGTATGAACATCATCTTCGCACAATGTACGTATGGCATCTGCTCACGCGTATTAAGGCCATTGTGTCTCATTATTCAGTATATACTCTCCTCTATGTAACCCCCGACAAATGTAGTAGACTGATCCCTGCCCTACCGTCCTTGTCAGCCTCGTATTAGAAGATTGCCTGTGCATCAGCTGATGTTGGAGTTTGACCCGCACAGCGCAGGGAGCCGTTTGAACTGCTCGGTTGATTCGATCGTTTTTCTGAGTGGATCTTAAACATGTGCGGAAAGCTGTAATGCAAGCATTGAGGTCAAAGTATTGATAATCCACCCAGAACACCGGATAATTTTAACTGACATACAAAATCAGTAACAACATTGTGATTCAATATCACAAGTATTGCTAAAACGACTGACATTTTTTGAAAATAAATATTTGGAAACCGAAGGCTTTTGTGTTTTAACCAAGACAAAAATCGATATGATGTATTATGTACGACCTCGTAAGCCGGAGCGAAGGTATACTGATTAGAGTCCAGATCAATGTACCTCTAGGTTGCAATTACAGTTGTATTGTCTTGATCTCGGATAGATTGCAGTAGTGGGATGTGCGTTGCCCACTGAAGGATCTTTCAATGGGAACTAATATTCAAAGATTTCCAGTAAATATTTTCCTAGGAAGTTATACGTGCAGTAATCTTTCCGTAAGATGTTAACTCGCTCTACAGTTGTAAAAAAGTTATATGCGTAATCTGGTAAGATGTTAACTCGCTCTACAGTTGTAAAAATTATATGCGTAATCCTGTAAGATGTTAACTCTCTCTACAGTTGTAAAGAAAGTTATATGCGTAATGCAGTAAGATGTTAACTCGCTCTACAGTTGTAAAAAGTTATATGCGTAATGCAGTAAGAGATGTTAACTCGGCTCTACAGTTGTAAAAGTTATATGCGTAATCCTGTAAGATGTTAACTCGCTCTACAGTTGTAAAAGTTATATGCGTAATCCTGTAAGATGTTAACTCTCTCTACAGTTGTAAAAGTTATATGCGTAATCCTGTAAGATGTTAACTCGCTCTACAGTTGTAAAAGTTATATGCGTAATCCTGTAAGATGTTAACTCGCTCTACAGTTGTAAAAGTTATATGCGTAATCAGTAAGATGTTAACTCGCTTTACAGTTGTTAAATTTCGCCTCTATTGCTAAAAGTTATATGCGTAATCCTGTAAGATGTTAACTCGCTCTACAGTTGTAAAAGTTATATGCGTAATCCTGTAAGATGTTAACTCGCTCTACAGTTGTAAAAGTTATATGCGTAATCCTGTAAGATGTTAACTCGCTCTACAGTTGCTATATGCGTAAAAGTTATATGCGTAATCCTGTAAGATGTTAACTCGCTACTTTACAGTTGTAAAAGTTATATGCGTAATCCTGTAAGATGTTAACTCGCTCTACAGTTGTAAAAGTTATATGCGTAATCCTGTAAGATGTTAACTCGCTCTACAGTTGTAAGTTATATGCGTAATCCTGTAAGATGTTAACTCGCTCTACAGTTGTAAAAGTTATATGCGTAATGCAGTAAGATGTTAACTCGCTCTACAGTTGTAAAAGTTATATGCGTAATCCTGTAAGATGTTAACTCGCTCTACAGTTGTAAAAGTTATATGCATAATGCAGTAAGATGTTAACTCGATCTACAGTTGTAAAAGTTATATGCGTAATCCTGTAAGATGTTAACTCACCCTACAGTTGTGAAGGTTGTATACCTTACCCAATCTTGCAACGTTTTATAGTCGGTCTACTATCATATGTATTAGGAATAATGTTTACTTACTTTCTAACTGGTCTTCGGAGAGGTTCAAGTCTGAGACAGTGCCATTTTCAACAATCTGTTGGTCAGCAGCAGGTTCCTGCTCTCGCGTCGCTTCCTCAGCAGATTCCTGCTCTCGCGTCGCTTCCTCAGCAGATTCCTTCTCTGGTGTCACTTCCTCAGCAGGTTCCTGCCCTGGTCGTCGCCTTCCTCAGCAGATTCCTGCTCTGGTGTCACTTCCCTCAGCTGGTTCCTGATCTGCTCTGGCCCCTCCTCGGCAGGTTCCTGCTCTGGTGTCGTTTTCCTCAGCAGGTTCCTGCTCTGGTGTTACTTCCTCAGCTGGTTCCTGATCTGCTGTCTGGCTTCCTCAGCTGGTTCCTGATCTGGTGTGGCCTCCTCAGCAGGTTCCTGCTCTGCTCTGGCACTTCCTCAGCAGGTTCCTGCCCTGGTGTCACTTGCTCAGCAGGTTCCTGCCCTGGTGTCGCATCTGTAGTAACTTGAGCAGTGTTCCCAAAATTGACGTTTTCTCCGTTGACGTTCTCTGTTCCTTCAGCGGCCTGAGTCTGGCCACCTTCCTGGGAGATGCTGCGGAAAATCATAAATCAAGAGGCTGGACCTTGTTCCACAGACCGATCGTAGCTACAGTCCTAAGTCTATGTTAAAGTTATAGTATTCACGATCATCTTAGCTCTACGATCGCTTTGGCAGACAGGTTCCCGGTACATATTCGGCGAATGTGTTTCATTTCTCGGTGACAATTCATCATGGCTATGCATGCACTAATCACCCATCATGTGTATTTTTTGCCTGCCCAATATACTTGATAATCTTTACGACACACCTTGATGCTTTTGTACGGAGCGGCCTTGTACCTTGTTGGTTTGCATGACGTGACGACGAACATGTTTGATTACAAGGCAAGGTCTACCGCTCTGTTTTCTTAAATGCAGTAACTACTCACCCTTTTTGTTTGCATGAAATAACTACCTACCGTGTTTGGTTCCACGCAGTGACCATCGCCGTGTATAACTAGGGCTGGGACGGGTAACCAGGATACCTGGGATGGATGGGTAATGAGTTGGACTCAATACCCGGACCCGTTATGATCATGTATAATAGATTAAACAACGTAATATGTTATTCTTTCATGATTAAAAGTTGTATTGTCTTTGAAGATTTAGACATAATTTACAGTCACCTGTTTTGAATATAATACATGATTCAGATATGGAAAACTCGAATTAAGCTGAAGAATATATTGCCATTTCGTAAAAAATTGATGTCAGGAATTAACATATCGGGTATCCAGGCAGGGTAGGGGCTGGAAAACCCGATTGGAAAATTTGGAACCGTCCCAGCCCTACTACAAATCTTGTTTGCAAACAAAGGCGACCAACCCTGTTATATTGGACACTTGACTGTTTGACTACCCTGTTTGATTGCTTGACACCAACCTCTCAGACTATATCAACACCATCCTCTCACACTATATGAAACCAATCCTCTCACACTATATGAACACAATCCTCTCACACTGTATGAACACCATCCTCTCACACTATATGAACACCCATCCTATCCTCTCACACTATATGAACACAATCCTCTCACACACTATATGAACAAATCCTCTCTACCTGTATCCTCATCCTCTCACACTATATGAACACCATCCTCCTCTCACACTGTATGAACACCATCCTCTCCTCACACTGTTTGAACACCATCCTCTCACACTGTTTGAACACCATCCTCTCACACCATATGAACTCCCATCCCTCAACCTGTTTGAACACCATCCTCTCACGCTATATGAAATACCATCCCTCTCACACTATATGAACACAATCCTCCCACACTGTATGAATACCATCCTCTCACACTATATGAACACCATCCTATCCTCTCACAGTATATGAACACCATCCTCTCACACTATATGAACACCATCCTCTCACACTATATGAACACCATCATCTCACACTCTATGAACATCATCCTATACTCTCACACCATATGAACACCATCCTATACTCTCACACCATATGAACACCATCCTATACTCTGACACCATATGAACACCATCCTATACTCTGACACCATATGAACACCATCCTATACTCTCACACCATATGAACACCATCCTATACTCTCACACCATATGAACACCATCCTATACTCTCACACTCTATGAACACCATCCCTCACACCATATGAACACAATCCTATACTCTCACACTATATGAACACCATCCTCTCACACTATATGAACACAATCCTATACTCTCACACTATATGAACACCATCCTATACTCTCACACTATATGAACATCATCCTCTCACACTGTATGAACTGTATTGTATCTAGTCATTACCCACCCTGTTTGATTGTATCTCGCCATTACCCACCCGGTTTGATTGTATCTAGTCACTACCCACTTTGTTGACCTGGCTACACAGGGCTACTACCAAAATGACGGCTTACATACGTTGTTGAGTGTCCGCTGCTCCAACTTCCCCGGCTCCATCTTCGTCAGCCTGACTCGCCACCAGCTGGGTCGTATCCTGAGTGTCCTGATCTGCCTGCGTTATTAATACACAGTATTCAGAGAATTCACTTGTCGGGATTAGGCTTAGGTTAGGGTTAGGGTTATCGGAAATAGTGAAACACATAGTATCACATGGTGGTAGTGTGTGGAAGTAGTGGCGAGGGGGTGGGAGGGGGTGTAGTTGTGCAAGGTGAGGGGCTGTTGACTGAGAAACTAAGCAGGCCTGTGTTGATGAACAACCTTAGTCTCAACCATCCAACACGCTTCTTCATTCAACTGGTGCACATGTCCGGGTACGACTTCCTAGTTGATTGTATGATTGTATGATTGTATTTAACCCAACAATCACTCAGCATAATCAGCTGGTAGTTCAGACAATACTGCGGTCGTTTAGTACACATGGACTTAAACCTGACGGTTGCATGTTCTTCTGTTACCTATCAAAGTAACGGCTGTATGCTCTTCCCCTGCCCCTTCAGTGTACCGACTGTATGCTCTTCCCTGGCCCTTCAGTGTACCGACTGTATGCTCTTCCCTGCCCCTTCAGTGTACCGACTGTATGCTCTTCCCTGGCCCTTCAGTGTACCGACTGTATGCTCTTCCCCTGCCCTTCAGTGTACCGACTGTATGCTCTTCCCTGGCCCTTCAGTGTACCGACTGTATGCTCTTCCCCTGCCCCTTCAGTGTACCGACTGTATGCTCTTCCCTGTCCCTTCAGTGTACCGACTGTATGCTCTTCTCTGCCCTTCAGTGTACCGACTGTATCCTCTTCCCTGCCCCTTCAGTGTACCGACTGTATGCTCTTCCCTGCCCCTTCAGTGTACCGACTGTATGCTC